TATTTTGTATTCGTAAAACTGTTCATCCTTCCTTTTTATAATATATTTATAATATTTTGTACGTAATATTATTCTGATTTACACATTTATCTTTTTTTAACTGGTGTAACACCACATGACTATCTTTTCTAACAATACCTTATTATATCACTATTGGATTTCGTGAAACTTTGTTTTAGTTGTCAAAATTGTATTATAACCAATAATATATGAAACTTCTCATATTTGCAGAGGATTCCAAACTGTCCTGTGAAAAGTTCGCAGCCTCTAAAAGAATTTGTTGGTCGCTGCCAAACTATGCCATCACGAGTGAAGAAATCATTTTGTGGTTGCCTCCAGGTAAAATTTCAATGTAAATGTAAAAGATATAATATGTATGCAAGCACATGGAACAATAGATATAATTATTAATAAGATTTTATAAGAAACTAATATTATTAAATCAACATTATTAGATACATTATAGATTATGTTATCAATTTTCTTATTGACGGACAGTAACTTCTGATTAATTACTTGAACAACACACGAGCTTAAGTTTGACAACAATATTATTAAAATATATTGAAAATATTAATAACACATAAATTTCTTGTAACAATATAATAAGGTAAAAACGTATTTTGTTTATAATTAATATATGAAATTTATTTTTTACATTTTTTACATTTAAGCATTCATTTTTATATTTAAGTAAAATAATGACAAAATTTAATTTGTAAAATAATGTAATATTACATCTATTTCCGAGTCTTTAGCTATCTTTGTTTATAAATAAAAAATATAAGCATATATTTTGTAAAGAAGTATTTAGATAAATTTAGAAAAGGTATGCGTTTATTAATTGAATATTAATAAAAATATTTATATTCAACTCGTGTAAATCAACTCTTAAAATTTTTTGATATATTTATGTATACATTTATTTTGAAAATTTCACATGTAATTATAACCTTCATTGTCTAAAATATAACAAAACAAGTTGCTAAAAAGTTCTTACATAAATCAAAACAATACACTCTTATGAGGAAGAAAAGGAATGTAAGAGCAAATGAAATTAATAACTTTTAGAAACGAGCCGAAGCGATCCGATAGGATTCCTTGCATTATTTTGCATTGCAAATTGTGTTAAATTATGATTACCTTAAAAAATGCTTTCTCGTATTAGTAAATTTATATCTTTCTAAAATTATAATTTCAAAAAACAGTTTTGCTAAAATATGTAAAAATTTGGCTAAATACCGATCTGAAAATAATTTTATTGAGTTTTAAAATATTATATAGACTCTTAAGTATGATAATAATACTATAAAAATATTTTTTTATTATAGCAATCAATTTAAATATTCTATTTAAATATTTTAGGTCCGACAAGATTATTTTAGATCTATATCTGACCAAATCTTTAGATACTTTAGCAAAAATGTTCTTTCCATGCATTAATATAAATAATATGTGCAATACAAAGAAATCGATTCCCGGAATGTTCCCACATGAATAGTCCACATGATGATAAGTTAATCAATAATTAACTTATAATAATAACTTTGACTGTGATTGATTTTGACTGCGACAAACATAATTGCAATACAAACATAATCTCATGTTCATATTTATTTACAATTATAAAGATTTAAGATATAAGATTAGATACAAATTAGATACAAATTTATTAGATTTATTAATCCTTAACCGGACGCGCCGCGGCATTGAGTGCCGCAAAATTCGTTTTTCTAAAATCATTGATAATGCAGGTCTTTTTTCTATTACCGAACTTCTGTATTCCTCATTTAGTATCTCAATCATAAGATAGCAACTGTCGCATATTTTCTGTTAAGTGGTTAGCCTTAAGACATGTTTTAAGACACGTTTTGCGGCACAGAGTGTCGCGCGCGCCTCAGAACATAAGTAAAATGTTGCTTATATAAATAATTATAATAATGCGAAATGTTGAACTATTCCTCACATTAACTTATTTTTAATATATTTTTACTCGCATTAATGCTTAATATCTCTTTAGGTTAGAGTTAGTTATGTTTTAAAAAGTTCAGACAATACGAATTTTGAAACAATTTTAGAAACATCCTGAATCCAAGTCCTGTTCTAAGTTTCCTATCATAAATCTCAAAAATGCTAAATTGAGAGATATTCTGTAAATACTTGGAGAGATGGAAGAAAATAATCAAGAAAAAATAATTGATTTTAGTTGATTTTATTTTATTAATTTTTTTATTTTAATAGTTTATTTTATATTATTATTTTATAAGAACATTATTATTGTTTGTCTATGTTTGATTTTAAACTGATGTCTTTAAAACAATTATCTTATTTTTAATTTTCTACTTACGTCTAACCAAACTTTTATTTTTCTAAGAAAGTAGACACAAAATTTTAATATTATTGTTAAGTTTTAATATTATATTTGATTATAAATACATTTTACTTGTTTTTATCCAATTATTTATCCAATTATTATAATTCCCAAATATTAAATTTATGATGCGGCACTCAGTGCCCCGCCGCGCGCGCAATAACGTTCGGCCGGGAGGCGCGCCCGGTTAAGAGTTAATTTAAATTTATTAATTAAAATTTATTAATTTAGCAACATTTATAAAATCATATATAATAAAAATATTTCATATGACATTACTAAAGCTTTATAATCATTTTAATCATGTAAATATCCTTTCTATATGCATAAGAATAAAGCAAATGTACATAGCATAACTTTATCGAAGCGTTTCGTCCGACAAGCTAGATGCTCATGTTAATTTGAAAGTCAATTGAAAGTAGAAAGGATTGAGTCATTAACCATATTCTCTTAATTCTTCATCTCTTATGCAATTTGTAATCCTAAAATAACCAAAGAACAACTTGTACAGATAAATTAATATTTACATAAAAAAAATCTGTACTGTGATCATACTGTAAGAACGCAAGTGCATAAAACTAAATTTATCGCGAACTCTCGGGAGAGTCAAACAACAAGAGGGACAATCTTCTAACTCTGGTCGTAGCAATCGATTGTTAATTATTAGGATGCACGAGGTGGCAAGAGAAAGCGGCACATTTAATCACACACACTTCTTCTTTTTTACTTCCTCTTTATTTCAATTATACAATTTATATTCAATTATACGATTTCATTCAATTATACAATTTAATAATCAACAATCAACATTCAATTATACAATTTAAATAATACAATTTACGCATGACATCCGCACTTTTTCGGCGTCCCAATCTTACTCGCTGCAACTCGCCGTTGTTCTGCTATCTCGTTAACCAATCGCAATACATCACGTGGTCTTTCAACCAATAATGTTAATATCAAAATAGGCCGCATTGCGCGGGAAAAACTAAAAATTTAAACTTGCTGACGCTCCTAAGGGCCTTCCTTACAATACTATATTTTCATTTTTTTCAAAAAATTTGTTACTCTTTGAAACGTGTACAAAATTATGAAAATAACGTTAATAAACAAAAGTAAATAAAAAATTATTACTATATAAAATAATCCATAATAATAAATTCTAATTTTATTTGCATATATAGCATAGTTATTAAAAAAAAATGTTTTAATTAATTACGACACATATTCACTTAAATGTTAATTTTTGCAAAAAAAATGTAGTTGATTATTCTTATATGATTATTCCTAAAAATATTATTGTATTGTTTAGCAAAACAAATATATTTCTCAATTTGGAATTATACTACTTGTTTTATATTCTTAATGTAAAAATTAATGAACAGAAATCTAATCATTTTATAAAGAATTTCAGGTTGTATACATTGTTTTAGATTATTGTGCATTGCATTGTTGTGCAAATACAAAATACTTCGTGACCAATATTGGACAATGTTGCACCTTATCAAGAGACGAAGCAAAATGCATCACTAGGCAATTTTTTCCGAATTTTAACCGTTTTATTTATCTTGATATCATTGATTTTCGTAAAAGTCGCATACTTCTTATTTCAATTTTTAGAAATTATTTTATTTTCTTTTTTCTTGAATATTCATCTTTATCGAAATAAAATAAAGATTTTAATATTGTAAGTAATAGATTTAATAAATTTGAATTTGTTTTATATTTGCTATTTTTTAGTAATACTATTTGCAAGAAACTAACTTGTAAAGAACATTAATTCGACATTGATGTAACATCAATGGTAGCTTGCAAGGTCATGTAACATGTCCGTGTAACATGAACATTCAGGGTCTTTGACATCGTATTCGTGATTGGAATAAGAAAATCAATATATCGCTTCCTCTAGAAACGCGGTATTATCTGCAAGTGGTCGTCCTTGCTTGAGTCTGTGATTTGCAGATTCCATTATCCTGATCGATTTTCCGTTTGTACTTCTTGCACATTGCAGACCGTATCGATTATGAGTTGAAAATTTACTATATTTTATCTGCTAATACAATTGTATAAACAACATATTTATTATTATTAAGAGAGAAGTAGAGAGAGAATTCCGTAGTCTTCTTCCAAACGGAATCTCTCTGATGGAAGGACAGAACCTATATACTAAATTGTGCGACAAAGAAGGTAGAAAAAAAGAAAAAGTATAGATTGGTATCATAAGGATTGGACGCGAAGTCGTCCAGTTACTTTTCTGAAAACATTATTCGATCATAATAAGTTTATACCAGTCGTATTTTATCAGTAATGTTTACTTTAAAACGTCGTACTAGCTTTTATGAACCTGCTTTTGCACATAAAAGACTAAGATTAAAAAATCCTAAAAAGCAAAAGCAATAGGAAAGAGAACAGTTTCTTGAAACTGAATAAATTTATTTCAACCATTCCGTAATGAAATAATTATTATAACAATTAATTACTGTTAATTATTTTCTTATGATAATTAAAATTATTTTACTAATAAAATGAATAATAAGAAGCGTAATATTCTTTGAACCAATAACTTTTTGATTTCTAATCATAACTTATCATAATATATAAAAAAAAGTTTTACTTTTTAGAGAAGGATTTAACAAAAGAATAGCTTTCTATGATTTTTAAATTAAAATATATTTGTATGGTTGTATCTCTAATAATATTTTCTGATTTTTAATTGTTAAGAAATATGTAAATGGAACAAACTAACAATTGACAAAACTGTATTAGCTTAATTTACGACTTTTACGTCATTCAAAATACTATTTGCTTACGTAATTAAATTTAATTAATACAAGAATAGTTTTTAATTTAAATGAATGAAAATTGTTAGATCTAGTATATCTTTGGATGTATTATAAATAAAATATGCAAAACATGTAACACAAGAAATGACGTTTAAAAGCACTTTTATGAAATACTGACAATGCATATAACTCAGAATAAAAAGAAAATGAAAAAAGGAAACATTATGTAGTTGCGAAATGTGCTGTTTGAATTTGCTCTTTTAGCATTAATTTATTTGTTGCAATTATTTCTTATTTATCTTTTATTTGTCTTTTTGTTTATTGGTATGACAATGTAATTTTTGTAGAATAACAAAATGGTTATTAATAGAGATTAGATCATTTGCAATGATATATCAATGATGGTATTATAAATTACGATTCTCAAAATATTTAACAGGACGCAAAATGTAGATCGTTGCAATTAGTTACGCTGATGTCCATTAGTATTTGTTTAATTTATTACTTGACGCAATTACACCGCGTACGTGCCAAGTACGTGCGTAAGTTATTCATAGAAATTTGAATATGATTACAATTTTGCATTAGTTTTATAAAAATTTTAATTTTTTTATAGAATATCTTATTATACACATATTTGTGTATGATATAACTTTTATAACAATTCTCTTAATTCTACAGTATATATTTTAATCAATTAACATAAGGAATTATATGAATATTAAATTATATTCTTATTTATATAGTAACATAAACAAATAAAATATATTTATATTTGTATTTATTAAACACATCCTTTTATTTTATTATCGTAACAGTAATATCAGTGTAAAGATAATGAATTAGCTAGTTACTTTTACAAGTTTATATAGTGCAACTTTCATGCACATTTATATTCACTTTTAGGTTATTCCACGTTTTAGATTATTCCATAGACAAGACTTTTTTCAACTATTAATCAATAATTCTATAAACGAGTTAATGTTCTATAATCAATAGTTCTATAAACGATGGTTAATGTCCGATTAAAGCAGCCGTTTAATCCTTAGATTTGATCTTGCTTAATCTTCTGTAAACTCACGTATATGTTAACGCACGTCATGTTTAATGGCGTTTCTTGTTATCGCGATGATCATGTGCAAACACACAACGTCTTTCCCACACAACGTCGAAGACACGAGTCGAAATCTTGAAAATAGAAACGTCAGGGAGAAGATTCGTTTCAATATTTCCTCCATACATGCGTATGTGCGCGACCTCTTACCACAGTGATCGCACGCAAGAATGATGTTTGCGAAGAATAAATCGACATCTGGTGAATAGGTAATTTCTTAGTCACGTGTGAAAGTACCTTAGGAATCCAGCACCTAAGCCGGTCCCCTGACCTTTGCTGCCGTTGCTGCTACTAGTTCTTGACTGGTTGCTAGTAAGACGAAGCGAGAATGGCACACAATGAAAATAGGTTGAAGATCAAAATTGTTCCAATACATTATGGGACTACAAACTTTTTATGTTAATTTTACACTATTTTACACCATTATTCCATTATTGTTATCATTCTATTATTGGATAATTCTAACATCAAAATCTTATCTTATTTGAATTTAACCGTTATATTTTAATAACTATTACAACATATTCCGTATTAAAAAATGGAATTTTTGTGTTTTAAAAAAAATTTTTAAGGTTATATATAAAATTATATCAGCAAGATTTATCGATATTGATAAACAATTTATAACTTTATTATAAATTACAATTTTTATTTTTACAGCATTTGTAAATTATAGCAAAATAATAAAATACGCCATTATATTATGCTCTGCTGTTCGTGTATTGTAATATTTTTATTTTTAACTTAATATTTTTATAATTATCGTTGATCTTCTACCTGACAATAAATATATATTGATGTATATTATATACTCATGAAACTATAAATTTTTTTTTCAAAATTGGCAATTTTTCTTCTGTTTTCATAAAAAAAAATTGCATTAAATCACTCATTAGAAAACATAAAAAATTAATATTTTTTTTTGTGTAGGCGAAAACGAATTTCACTCCAAAAAATTACAGTAATAATGCGCCGGTGCATTATTGATCGCGGTGCTATCTGTTTCCTCAAAAGTCTACATATATATCTACAAAAAGTATTAGATATATTTTTATTTTAAAAATGAAATTGTAATGTAAAAATATGTTTACAATAATTTTATATCATCTTTTTATTAAAATTATTATTGTGGATATATTTTATTATTTCTAAGATATAAAACAGTATTATTAATTTTTTTTAATATATTTGATAGTTTTAAAAATATATTTTTGTGTATATGTTATATAAAACAAACATCAACATATTTAAATATATTATTATTTACACACAAGCGATACGGCAATTATCCATAAATAAATAACGTGTTTCATATAGAATATATATATATATATATATATATATAGAATAAAAATTATGTGTTATATATAATAAAAATTCAGAAAATTTATGCTAATAACTCGTATGCGTAAGATTAAAGCAAGAAATTTCTTCAGCTACTATATCTCTATCTTTATACGTACTTATTAATATAATATTACTTGTATGATTTATAATGTCGTGCACGACAGGATGACGAGCCGCCGGAAATCACGTATTGCGTTGTGGAGCACACGGGTACGCTCACGCTACAAGCAATGACGCCGACCTTGCCAATGCCAGCCGAGGAGGAACTGAATAAAATGTTTCTCGAGCTTGTTGACGAGCTGGACCTGACTCAAGCTAATCGACAAGCGGTTTTGGCACTTCCAGCAAATAAAAAGTGGCAAATATATTGCTCCAGAAAAGGTAATGGCTCGCTGGACAACGGAGGTTTACGGACCACTGATCTCAGTGGTGATCCCGAGGATTATATCAATAGACTGAAGATGATAGCGAATGTAAGTGAATAAAAAAATTGTTTGATGAAACCTATCCTAATATTAATTATTAGCAGTTAATAATGTCTGTTTTATTTGCTTGTAAAGTATTGAACATGTAATACTTCAAATAGATTAAACAAGATTTTTTTCTATCAGTTTTATTAAAAAAAAATTCGCGATATAAGCAAAATTAATCGAATTTATATGTATATATAAATTTGATAAAAGAGAAAATCAGACTCTTGAAATCAAGTTTGCCGAAAGTTGCCTTCTTATTCTCTAATTATTAAAAAGAATTGTATTCGCGCGATGTAAATGACTTTTCATAGAGAAATAAATATAGAATCCCATTCTGTGCGCGCTGTCATCATTAAGATAATTTTTTTACATTACCATTAAATATTCTTATGGAAACATCAATTAAATTATATCAATAAGATTTATCTATTTTAATTGTAATCATTTTGCCTTGAAAATTTTCTTATTAAAATTAGAATAGATAAAATTAGAAAAGATATAAGATATTAGAGATGAGACAAACAAAAACTATAAAATAATTTATAATAATAATTATTTAAAAATAATAATTATTTTCTAAATTACTGAAGAGATGCAATCTTTAGAATTTTACGTCTGTGTGTCATATTATTGCATATAAATTTACAATAGTAAGATTGCTTAGAATTAATATAATAACTCTGTTGGAAAATTAAATTACAGCGTATTACTGTGTTATTTCAAATTTTATCTTTAATCCATAATGAGCATATTGCTGGTGTACAGAATCCTTTCCCAGAGGAAGGTGAGGAGGTATCGAGTCAAATGCGTCAAGCCGAAGCTCTGAAGACTGCCCTGAGAACGCAACCGCATAGCTTCGTTCTCAGATTTATAGAACTAGATGGTTTAAATGCTCTACTACAAGTACTAGGAACTATGAATACTGAGGCAGCGAACAGTAATCTTCACACCAGCGTCATAGGATGTCTGAAAGCTTTAATGAACAATTCGGTGAGTCTTTATCATGTACCAAGTATAGTAAGCGTTTAAGCATATTTATTGACGATATTTCATAAAAATATATAAAGCAATTTTTCCTATATACTTTCTAGATGAAAATGTGTGAATCATTGTTTACATACAATCAATGAATTATTCAAAAAATTTTGTTAAGGAAATCTTGGCGCACACAGCTTCCTTTTCTCTTCGTTAATTTAATTAATATTTCCTATGTTTTAGAATGGTAGAGCGCATGTATTGGCGCATCCAACGGCAATCAACACAATATCACAATCGCTCGCGTCTGAGAATATAAAAACAAAGATCTCTGTATTAGAGATTCTTGGTGCGGTTTGCTTGGTGCCGGGCGGTCACCGCAAGGTCCTAGAAGCTATGTTGCACTTTCAACAGTACCATTCCGAAAGAACACGCTTTCAATGTATAATTAATGATCTCGACAAAAATTTTGGCATTTATAAGGACAATCTGTCTCTGAAGACGGCGATTATGTCGTTTATCAATGCCGTACTGAATTACGGACCTGGCCAGGTGACACTGGAATTCAGATTGCATCTGAGATACGAACTATTGATGCTCGGGATCCAACCTATTATTGACAAACTGAGAAAATATGAAAATGAAACACTTGATAGGCATCTTGATTTCTTTGAGATGGTACGAAATGAGGACGAGAAGGAGCTCGCCAGAAAATTCGAGAAGGAACATGTGGATACTAAGAGTGCTAGCGCCATGTTTGATCTTTTGCGACGGAAACTCAGTCATACTGCCGCTTATCCTCATCTCCTTAGTTTACTTGAACATTGTCTTTTGTTGCCACGTAAGTTCTTGAATTGGTAGATGTTATTTTTGGAAATGTATTATGAACGTTTGTTTAATTTCTTTCAGTGGATTATGGTTCGCATCCTCAGCATTGGTTGTTGTTTGATCGAATCGTTCAGCAGATTGTTTTACAATCTGAAAGCAATGAGACGGGATTAGTAAGAAATCCCGATGTGGCCCCAATTGAAATAAATGTAAAAGAAATTGTCCATCTTCTTGCAAAGGAAGAGGAACTTGTGGCAGCAAGAAGAAAGGCCGAAGAGCTGGAACGCGAAAATTTGGACATGTCCACGAGACTAGCTAAGAAGGAACAAGAATTAGATTTAAGAACTCAAGAAAAAGTACGGTCAAAATTGATTTAATTTTTTTTTATTCTATTTGACAATCATTAACAAATCTCTCATGTTACCTCTAATAATAAAATTTTATTTAAAAAATTTTATAAAAAATATATAAATATATATTATAAAGAAGATTTTATTTCTTTTTTTTTTTTTGTCTAAAGATATAGATTAGATATGTCTCAAAACATTTAATATAGGCTCAATGCTGAACACATCTTATAATAATAATAATATAAAAATAAGAAAAGTATACATATACAAATTTAAAAATTGCTTCTTTAATATATTGAATACACTTTAAATATGAGCCCAATGAATTACATAAAAAATTTTTTTTAGCAATACTTTTTTCTTTTCCTATAAATTTATTTAATTTTAAAATAAATTTACAATAAATTCTTACATTATAAATCTAATCAATAAATTTGAATTATCATTTATTGCTTGATATTTTATCTTTCTTTTTAATATATATAGTTACATTTTGTGATCATTTATTTGTAGGAAGATATGGAAGCAAGTTTAACAAGAATTAAAGAGCGTCTCGAAAAAGAGACATCGATGCATATAGAAACAAAACAAAGAATTTCTGAATTGCAAGATAATCTTGAGACATTGTCACGACAAATTAATAACGAGAAATCAGAAAGAAAACGTTTAGAACAACTAGTGGCTTCAGGAAGTTTGCCAGATGATGCAAAAGCTACTCTGAAAATTGTGGAAGATGAAGTACTTGATGAGATTGAGACCAAACCCACTCCGCCACCACCGCCACCTCCTCCATTAGCACCTCCGCCACCTCCCTGTTTAATGCCAGCTGCTCCTCCGCCCATGAAGGTTATTATTATTTATTTCAAATTAAGTAGTATAAGATTATTATATAATAATCAAATAACAAATAATAACAAGTGATAAATAGTGTATATTTAACAAGTGGTAGAAAATGACATTTAACTAGTATTATTACTACAACTTATGTAGCTTGTGATTTAATAGTCACAATTTTTAAGGCTAAATGCTAGAATAGCTAATTGATAATTTTGCTTAACTGAACAGAATATAGTCTGCATAATTCTCAAATTAAATATCATAGGTGGAGATAATAAAGAATGTGCCGCAACCGAGCAATCCTTTGAAATCGTTCAACTGGTCCAAGATACCTGAACAAAAATTACAGGGCACAATATGGTCAGAGTTGGATGATACAAAAATTGTACAACGTAATGGATCTTGAATCCATCGATAAAATTTTTTGTGCATATCAGAAGAATGGTGTTTCCACAGAAGGCTCGATAGAAGATTTGAGAACATTAGGAAAGAATAAAAAGACAATGTCAGTGATTGATTCAAGAAGAGCGCAGAACTGCACAATATTATTGTCTAAATTGAAGATGTCCGATAATGAGATTACTAGAACGATATTGTCAATGGATCAACAGAATATTTTACATATTGACATGGTGGAACAGTTACTAAAGTACATACCATCCTCAGAGGAAGCTGCCTTGTTAGATATCCATCAAAAGGAATTGCAGAATAGAGCTGACTGCTTTTTGTATCAAATATCAAAGTGCGTTACATTTTTAATGTTATTAGTTTTTTTAGATTCTTACCAAAATTATGATAATTGTGTCAAGTAATAGTCTTCATAAATTTTGATTTTAATTTTCCTATATATTATTATATACAGCAAAACGTTAATTAACAAAACATTAAAGCATTGAACGAAACATTAAAATATGAATATTCTTTTAGGGTGCCACATTATGAACAGAGATTACGTTCTTTACATTACAAAAAGAAATTTGCAGCTAGCATTGCGGAATTGACACCGAGAATGCGAGCAGTTCTAGAAGCAAGCCGACAAGTGGCCAGATCGAGGAGACTTAGAAAATTATTAGAATTAGTTTTAGCATTGGGAAATTACGTAAATCGCGGAAACGCGCGAGGTAACGCGTGCGGTTTTCGATTAGCTTCTTTGAATCGTCTAGTCGACACCAAGTCTTCTTACTCCAAGGGTACGACTTTACTGCACTATCTTGTGCAGATTCTCGAAGCCAGATTTAAAGAAGTCCTAGAAATCGAAGAGGACATGCCACATGTTAGAACAGCTGCTAAAGTTAGTATGGCTGACTTACAAAAGGAAGTGGCTAACTTGAAAAATGGATTGCAAGATGTTCAGAGAGAAATAGGTAATGGTATATAATAAAACAGGTAAATTTTAAGCAAACTGATTACTTAAAATTTGCATAGAAAATAGAATTAAATAATAAAAAATAATGTTTAATAATGTATCATATCTATTACATGAATTTTAATATTTACAATGAAAAAATTATAAAAAACTTATAGATTATTCTCAATCATATTTAGAAAAAATATATCAATCAATCATATTTAGAAAAGAAATTTAACGATAGTTTAGAATCTGGATTAAAAATTATTTAAATAAATAAATAAAAATGTATTCTAAAAATAAATGTATTCTAAATGTACTCTAGAAATATAATAATTAAGAAATAATGTCAATAACTTCTTTTTATATAAGTATTTAAAATTATTTATGTAAAATTTTATTGCAATGCAGAGATTAGTTATTTTTCAGTTTAATTATTATTTACAAAACGACTCATCTCTATATCTTAATAAAACTTTATACTAATTAAACTTTATGTAATCTTAAATACTTAAAGTATTTTAAAAAATTCAGATTTTTGTCATTATTTCTTAATTATATTTCTATTAAAATACATTTCTATTTTTATATTTAAATAATATTAGAAGTATCCATAAGTAATATCATGTTTTGACATGCAAAATACATTTTATTTTGCATGCATTTTATTTTATTTAACATTAAATACAGATTAATCTACAAAATAATCTCCATTATTATTGCATCAAAATATCTCCATCATTATATTTAATTTATTTCTTTTCCTAATTTTCTAGAAAATTTTCAATTACCTTCTTATAAAATGAGAATAATTTCGTAACAAAGTTATTTCAGATTTTGATCTATCAGAAAGATCAAAATCATTGTTTTAAACTTTTTAATCCAACGGCATATTTATGGCACTAGAATAAAGTGGAATTAATGGCATCTGTGACACTACTTGTATTGTTACCCTTTCGAAACTTGTAGTGGCAAATGTCTAATATGCACATTATCCATACTTTGGCCTTCCATTTCTTAACGATACACTTAAATTCTTTCAAAATTTTACAGTAAGTATACTAAATGTCAATAAATTTAATTATTATATAGATTATGTAATAATAAATTACGTCCACGAATAAAATTCTAATGTTTACTCAATCTGAAAAAAATGACATCAAGTAATACATAGGTATGGGTACTTATGTATTAGTACTTATGAACTCCTAATATTCAGTCCAAATTTTAAATCGCTATAAAATCTTTTAAATATAATCTAGAATAATCTATAACTTTTTCATAATTTTTTCATTGTATATAAAAATAAGTGTAACAATATATAATAATATAAATACCATCTGAAACATATTTAATTAATACTGTTATTTAAATGATTATTTTTATATTACTTAAATGATTATTTTTTTCTATGCCTGTAAAAATAATAATCTTTTAAATTTATTTATTTAAGTACGCGTATTTAAAAATGCGCGAGAGAAAAAATAAATTATTATAGTATTACCTATGATATGTTTTTTTATTCATTTCTTTAGAATTTCATCGTGGTCAATCTCAGGTGCTTCAGGGTGATATGTTTTTACCTGCGATGAGGGACTTCCAGGCGCAAGCTACATGTAGATTGGCAGAGGCAGAAGATTTATTTCAAGATATGAAAACTAGGGTAAGAACAAATAATTAGCTATAATTGTAATTATGACAAATACCTAAATATAATTTTATCAAAATAGTTTGATCGAGCGGTGAGGCTATTTGGTGAAGATTCGGCTGGCGTACAACCAGATGAATTCTTTGGCATTTTTGAAAATTTCCTACAAGCGCTGACTGAAGCGAGACAAGATGTAGAAAATATGAGGAAAAAATTGAAGAGGAGGAACGTAGAGCGAAACAAGAACAAGAAGTAAGCGATATTTTCATTAGTAAATATATCTGTAAATACAATATATTGCATTATAATTTCTTACAGCTCCGGAAGAGAACGATAGAGAGGAAAAACTCGCGGGAGGGTATATTAAACAGCATATCGTTAAGTAAGAGAAATGAAGCAAATAGTAATGGGCAACAAAATGATAACAAGGGTGAATTTGACGACTTGATATCTGCTCTTCGAACTGGCGATGTATTCGGCGAGGATATTGCTAAATTCAAACGATCAAAACGACGGCCTGTTACACCTAGCGGTCAAGAATCACGCAGACATAGCACTCACAAAGAAGATTCCCGAGAACGTCATTAGAATTCTTAAGCTTCATCAAAATTGATAGATAAATCATTTCCCAGCATACAAAAAATTTTTCATATAAAAATTTGTTTATCAAGAACTTATCACATCTTGTTTAAAAGCACCTTATAAACAATCTAATTATAAATACCAATAACATTCCAGAAAATTGTTTACAAACATTTTGATATAGATAACTTGATATCACACACGATCGTTATGTTAATTTACATTATTACATTACTAATTTTCATTTTTTATTTATCGAATTACATTACATTACTGTACATACATGTACTGTAAAAAATGTTCTTTTAAGTTCAATTCAAAAAGGTTTGCATACAATTTGGTCTCTTAACAATTTTAGACGAATTTTACAGATATCAAAAATTGATATATTTATACATCAAATATAAGTATAACATTTTTTTGTAAAAATTTTTTACATTGTTAAAGATGCTCACAAAAATTTAATACAATATTAATGTTATATAACATTCTTTATAAAATTTTTGGTAAGTGTATTGTCTATAGGAATTTTACAGCAAATGAGAAAATTTTAGAGAAAATTTTAGATTTCCATTTTAAAGAATTTTTATATAAAAAGTTGATCACTTTAACGACAAAAAAATTAATCAGATGTAGAATTAAAGTCAACATTTTTGCAGCAAAGTTTTATAATTGAATATAATTAAATATAATTTCCTAAGTTTTGAATCAGGATTAAATATTAAATTTACAACAGTCGAAGAATATAAATAACTTAATATATTTTTAAACAGAAAAATTTAATTTTTATAAGCAAAAAAGAAAATGTAGTAAAAAGTACACTCTGTACATCATTCTTTTTATTAATTAAACAAACGTTTTTTATAAATTATTATTTGAGATAATAAGTTTTAAAAAACAAAATACGATTGATAATAGTCATAACAGAATAATGCACATTTAATGTGTGCAAAATTGAAGAAATATTTATTTTTTTCTTGAATAATATGTTTCTCTTTACTTGAATAAAGGTATTATCTTTATTCAAGTAAAGAGAAACATATTATTGAAATTATAATAATTTCGGTAGTCATGTGTGCGCACAAAACATCTTTAATTACTAAATACAAAATAAAGATTTGCATGTGGTTATAATTAAAAATTATATTAGATGAAACTCTTTTGTATAAAGTCATCTTATCTATTTGGTTAATTAAGACTGATTGAAATTAAGCACAATTAACTTTGCAATATCTTGATAATATAGCAATTTCCATTAACTAAACAAGACAAGATATCCACAAGATTCCTCTCTGTTGTATCAAAATCAAAGTAATGCAGCATATATCATCTATGTTTGAACATATATTTATTATTTGTAAAAATTGATAGCAATTGTGATTATATTTCTGATTGTATCTTCTCAAATAATTTTGCCTTGAGCAAATGTGATAAGAATTTTATAAACGCCTCATATGCTACGCAAATCTTATGAGATATTTAAATACATATGAATGATATTAATCAAAAAGGATGATTTTCTGACAGACAAAATAATATCTGCAATCAATAATAAACACTTGAGAGGCCTAGACAAGCAGTAACTGCCAGATACTGCTTCCGGAAAACTAAAAGTCTGATTTTCTAATTTATTAAAATAATAATTCAAGTATAATTTAGACGGTTAGGAAACAATACGTTAGAAAACTAACGTTAGCTTTGTGCTGCTGTTAAAATTAGTTTTCAATTATAGAAATAAAAGGTATGATTAGAAGCGTTTGTTGTATAGTAGTCGATGTATGATTGTAAACTTTTGTACTTTTGTAAATATCCAGTATTAATATTCTTGTTCCTTGGAATATAACCATTCTATAGAGATCTGTGTCTAATTAATATATTATGTAACATCGATATTTCACATAGTACACACGCGCGCGCGCGCACTGTGTATATTATTATATAAAGAAATATATCAAATAAAGATGTAAGAGATTTTTATGATTTTGAATAACCTTGTTAAGCCCTATTCTATTTCTGTTTTCTTTTCTTAAAAGGAAAAATGCAAAAACTTATTCTAACTTATAATTTTATTTTAAAATTTTATATATAATCTTTTTTAGATCCTGCACACAATAAAGAAAATATTGGGAATAGGAATAAATATTAAATTTTTAAAATAAAAATTCAAAATGTGACTATATTTTATATTTATTTATATTCATTGTGCGTTACATTTAATTTTGATTCCAAATTTTTATTTCTAAAATTTAATTTAATATTTATTCCTGTTTCTAATATTTGCGCAGGTCCTTAATCTATTAAAATAAATAAAATAAAAATAATAATTATATTAATTAATAAAAACATCTTTACCATACGCAAGAGTGCGCAAAAGGAATCATTTAAGAATTACATTTATCTATATCTGGTAACTTAGTTAGCCTACCATTATCTATAGAGAAAATTATATCATAATAAATTAAAGCTTATTCTCATAGATGGCACTTTAAAATTGTATTCTTTAAAAATCCCTTATCAAAGGATCTCTAATATTCTTTTAATATAAAAATATATTAAACAAACGTTTTTTTTCATTACAAAGTTATTTAAGATAATATATAAATATATTGGATAATAAACATATTAAAACCTCAAATTTAAATTATGCTAAATAGTGTCACAGACACTTTGTGATTAACTATTTCATAGCAATATCAATCAATATCAGCAATAATGTACGTTAAATCTTTTATTTGTACTAGATATACATAAAGAATTACTTTTTATAAAATAAAAAATTCTTTGTAGATTATTTTTAGAAATTACATTACTTAAAAAATTGATTTTTAGACAGACAAATATTTTTATAAAAATTAATTCCTTATATATCTAATAAAATTTTACAACAGAAGCGACATTTGCATCATTTGCAAGGTAAATATTATTATGATTTTTAAAGGGATAATAAAGATAAATGCACACTTGTTCAGAAATTTTATTTATTACGTATACTAGCCGACTACTATGCATGCGTTGGAGCATTCGGATACAGAAAATTCGCTGCAGATCCAAAGTCCACCGTTAAGTATTTTCACAATAATAGCAATGTCATTTCCATTATGACTCTGAAGGGAGAATATGCAGTAGGAAATGATAAAAAATTATTCCTTTTTATTTAAAAAAGTAAATGTTTTTTTGCACATTTTAAATTAATTCAAAATAATTTTATTTTTAAATGTTTTAATACAAAGGTCAAATATATAAATTTAGTTATGACATCAAAATATTTCAAGTGTTCTCTTGTAAAATCGCATTTTTTCTTATTTTTATATAATTTCTTTTTTTTTTAAATTACAGATTAATTTTTACTTTTATTTTTCTTTAATCTTCTCAGAAATGAATGATCTATCACCTGATCATTTGGTTTTAAGAAATTATGATTTTCTCAAAAGTTACAGGAACGATTAAAGTTATAAAAAATTAACTTTTTAAATTTTAATTAAAGATCAGAAAAAAGATTTATTTAAAACACTTATTATATCAAATGTACTATTGATCGGACATATGCCGTAAAGAATAAAGAAGAAACTCGAATATCGAATATATTGAACTAGTGCAGTAAAAAAGGAACATAAAGATAGGTATAGTTTTGCTTTATAATTTCGCAAATGCGTACTCTCCTTTCAGTTGCTTTTTTCTAGAGAATATGTGGTTACTTTGTCTTCCACGATTGAGTCTTTTAAATAATATGTTATGTTACGTGTATAACTTGGTAGATCTAAGTTAGAGAAAACGCGTCGCCCGAAAAAAAGATACTTTATCTGATGATCACCTTTGTAATTTGAAATTTACGTTAATATATTTTAAATATAATAATAATAAAACAATGTCGATAAGAGAAATTTACAGATTATTATATTTTAACTTTTAAATTAAACAAATTTTTGACAATCTTTTGATTATTCATAGATGTAATAATATTTATATGTTACATAGTTTAAAATATAAATGAACATGGATATAATGGGCTTTACATTAAATTAAACAGTAAGCATTTTAAATAAATAATTAAAGAGCAATTTGAAAAAAATGAAATCATCGTGGTATTTTCATATTTTATAAGTTCTGCAAAAATTTAATAGTAAAATAATAACTAGATATTTTTTTGTTTTGATTAATTTTACTTGAAAATCTCAAAAATTTTCAAGTGTTTAAACCAGCGACAAAATTTTTGTCTGGCTCAGCGTGTCTCGCAACCACATTTAATTTTAATCATTTTTTAATATTTACGCATGTGAATATATATTTATTTTTTTTATTATTTATATATTTATGTACAAGGGACGGCGCCTCGAAACGACGGTGTAACGCGAGCATTGGCTTATTCAAAGAATTTGATGTAAGAAATGTATGTGCGATATTCCATTAACTTTCATTTTAATACGTTTGATAGACATATGTTGACAAAATTTGTTTCTAATAATTATCTCAACGAAACACCGACGTCATCGTGGCTGCCTTGCATAAAAGAAAGAAAAAAAGAGAAAAGAGACGTATCCATTACTAAAGTATCATATATCTTATCAAACTAGAACTTATATCGATATATTGCACATTTGACAACAGTTACGTTTCTCTTTAAGTACTTGGATATAAGAAGTCTTTGCTAATAGATCTTTGACTCGCATTCATTCCTCCATCCTCCCCTCTCTCCCTCTCTCTC